CTACAGAAGATGATCAGTAGTGTTGAATTAGTGAGGGCAGTTACAGGAGGGAAACTGGGCTGTAGTGAAACCGAGCTGGGACATGAAGGGAAGGAGAGATGGTATTCCCAGTGCATTCCCGGTATTCCCAGCAGAAGGAGGTGCAATTCCCCAAGTCCTGGTGCAGGATGAGAAAGGACTGTCTATGGACCCGGGCACTAACACCGTTGCAGAGGCTGCTGAGTGAGACCGAGAATGGAGAGGAAGCGGGAGAGCTGAGGCTGTGCCTGTGTGCTCACGCCCCGGTGCCACAGACAGTTGGATTGTGCTCAACTCAGACTCCTGTCTAAGAGGAAGCATGCCGCTGAAGCAGGACTGCAAACGCAGGCACATAAGGAGAAAGGGGCGCTTTCCCTTTGTGTGACGAAAGAGTCCCTGTTACTGTCGGTTCGGGAAAGTTTTGCCATCTTTAAGCCTTGTCCCCCAGACCCAATCTCTTGCAGTATCATCCTAATGACGGCCTCCGCAGTTGAACAGGGCCTTGACCCGGCTATCCGCATTGTGGGATTTGAGGCTACATTCTAGATTGAAGGAAGAGACCCTTTGGACTAATACGCAGTAAAATCCTGTGGCCATGCTTCTGTTTGCCCAGCTCCTAAGCTGCCTTCTAGGAAGTCCACACACTGCTGTGAATTTGATTTTCCATCTGTGGTGGAGTAGGTGACAATGTGTTCTATCAAGCTGCAGCAGAGATTTCAGCACAGATGTCAGGGATAAGAGATAGATAAAATAGGCCGGGCGCGGTGGCTCAAGCCTGTAATCCCAGCACTTTGGGAAGCCGAGGTGGGTGGATCACAAGGTCAAGAGATCGAGACCATCCTGGTCAACATGGTGAAACCCCGTCTCTACTAAAAATACAAAAAATCAGCTGGGCATGGTGGCGCATGCCTGTAGTCCCAGCTACTCAGGAGGCTGAGGCAGGAGAATTGCCTGAACCCAGGAGGCGGAGGTTGCGGTGAGCCGAGATCGCGCCATTGCACTCCAGCCTGGGTAACAAGAGTGAAACTCCGTCTCAAAAAAAAAAAAGAAAAAATGATAAAATAGATGTAGAGACATAAATATTGATCACGAGGATTATATCCTGCAGGGAATGATATATCACCACCTGCATGTTCAGAGTCTAGCCAGCCAGCAGGCATGCCCTCAGTGCTGCTGTTAAAATATCATGTGGTGGTTGCCAAGGCAGAGGGATGTGACCGGCCTCAGAAGAAATGGCAGGGAATTCAGTGTGAGGACGATGCAATCAGCAGATAACTCCTTGGGTGACGGGTACTTATTTTTTTGGTAATTGAAAACTCTTAAAGACAACTTTGCTCTTAAGGCCTGAGTCTCAGAGAGATGACTTCATGTGAGGGTGAGTGAGGGGTTGAAGCTGCCTGAGAGAGGCAGGTAACAGGTTCTAAAAGGGGCCCAGGTGGGCATTCCTGCCCAGGACGGCAGTGGTGAGGATACAGTGTTTGCCTGCAACAGTGCAGTAGTGGCTGCGAAGTCGGTGTTGAACTAGAGTGAATGAGGAGTGGAACCTGATTAGAAAGAACCTCAATACCTGGAGTCACAGTGACTGAAAGGAAGTCAGCCACAATTCAGATGAGGGAGCTGGTTTGAGTTTGGGCGGACGGCTGCCAGGTGAAATCTGGGATGCCTCAGTTGAGAGGTGAGTGAGGAACTGACAGCTGTAGACACGGGTCTGGAGGGTCTCCTTTTGAATGTGATGGCTGTGTGCAGAAATTGCTGTGTTCATCCAGGGTAGCAAGGCTGTGCCTTGAGGAACACCTGTATTTGGGTAGCGGGAAGATGAAGGAAGGTCAAGGAGTGTAGAGGCTGGACACCTACTAACTCTCCAAGGGGAAAGGCCTGAACAGATGGCATCAGTCCCATGAGGGGCAGGGCCGGGCAGTATCCAGCTTTGCCGTGGAGAAGCCGTGCACATGTGCATGTGTGTGTATGTGTGCATGGTACAGTGGACTATAATTACAAAAGAACCTCTCCTCTGTAATCCCACCCATTCATCTCCTGTGACATTTGTCTCCCTCATCTCCCCTCCCAGCATCTTCTGTCTCAGTCATTTACTCGATGGCTCCTGCTGCTCACCATGTCACCAGCTGCTCTTTATTTTTAAGCAAAGTTCTAGAGAGAATAGTAGTTAAGAGCAAGAGTTTGAGGCCAGGTGCAGTGGCTCACACCTGTAATCCCAGAACTTTGGGAAGCCGAGGCGGGTGGGTCATGAGATCAGGAGTTCAAGGCCAGCCTACCACAATGGTGAAAACCCGTCTCTACTAAAAATACAAAATAGCTGGGCGTGGTGGCCGGCACCTGTAGTTCCAGCTACTCCGGAGGCAGGAGAATCACTTGAACCCGGGAGGTGGAGGTTTCAGTGAGCAGAAATCATGCCACTGCACTCCAGCCTGGGCGAAAAAAAGAAAAAAAAGCAAGAGTTTGGCTTTCAGTCCTGGGTTTACCATTTGCTGCCGTGTAACTAAGATAGACCAGTTATCCTCCCAACTCGCTCCGTGAATTAGGAGTGAAAACATGGACCTTACTGAGATGTTAAAGCAACATTAAGTTATTACAGTACCTGGCTCCTAGTGAGTGCTGAGTAACTTGTCTTTATTATAAGCTGTAGCATACATTTACCCTCTATCTTTCTTGCTTTCTTCATTCTCTCACTTCTTCCTCCACTATCCCTACAACTTCTCTCTTTTCTCCCAGTTTAAACTCTGAAAAGAAACTTTGGAATCAGAAATCTCAGAGAGAGGAATGTCATAATTCCTTTACTTCTTAATAATTAGGCTTAAAAATGTGCTAGCTTGACTTTGCCCGGCCACAGCTCACTGTTTTGACTGATATCTTGAGCTCGTTAGAGACAAAATCACATTCTGTGAAGTTTATCTCATAAGTGTTGATAGAATCTGGAGGAAGTGCAATAATTTAGTGTTTCACAAGAATGGTGGAAATTTTCTAACAAACAGTATGCAGTTTTGAAGCTACAGAAAAAGGAAAGAAAATTTTCACTTATTCCTCCATTCAAACCCTGGAGTTTGAGTTGTTTTCAAGTAACAGTAGAGTTCTTCAGAATATCCACGGGGGCAGTGGGAAACACTTGCAGCAACATCTAAGCTGAGCAGGGCTCTGTTCATTTTGTAGTCTATGCATAAGGTACCAAATCAAGAATGAAAATCCTTCATACGTTATCTTATGGGATTTATTATTAATAATAATTTCTTTTTTTTTTTTTTTTTTTTTTTTTTGAAATAGTTTTTCTCTTGTTTTCCCCGGCCGGGAGTGCCGGGACGCGGGCTCACCCCCCCCACCGCCTCCTGGGT